TACCTCCCTCTGGATTAGGGAGCTGGTGTAAGTGTCTCTGGTCAGCACTGGATTGGCTGTTGTGCTCATTGCATCCCTCTGGATTAGGGAGCTGGTGTAAGTGTCTTTGGTCAGCATTGGGCTAGTTGTGATGCTCATTAAATCCCCCAGGATCAGGGAGCTGGTAGAAGTGTCTTTGGTGAGCACTGGGTTGGCTGTGGCGCTCATTAAATCCCCCAGGATCAGGGAGCTGGTGTAAGTGTCCCTGGAGAGCAGAGCCCAGTCTGTTGTTACCGCAGCAGTGGCATCGTAACTGGTAAAGCTGAGAGCATCATGATCAGGAGAGGGCGTGTCTGAGTGGGGCAGTGTGACATTGCTGCTCCCAGACTGGCATTTACTGTAGAGCTCTTGCAGTGAAACAGGTGTTGAAGGTCTGCCCCCATCTTCCTGGGATGTGCAGAAAGTCTCCCCAGCCCTGCAGAGGGGAGAAGACAGAAAAGTCAAGATCCATAAGAACACTGCAGGCTCCTTAGGCTGCTTGGACTGCAACTGGCAACCTGCTGTCGAAATCAGTCTTTATTTTAGTGAGGACAAACCTAGACTAAAGTTAAGTTGTCTTAATGATAGTCCTGTGTTTGGCAGATGGCTCTGGCTGTGGAATTCAGCTGACTGGGATTCTGGTTTTGTAAGGTTCGGGAATATCTTTTCGAATATCTTTTCCCCAAGAGGAAACATCCTTTGGCACAAGGGCTGTGAACCTTATCAAGAGTTCAAGGCAACTTGTCCCAAAGGGTCAGACTGTAATGCCACACTAAGAGTTGAACAATGCAGAGGGATGTAACAGGATCCCCAGGATCCCGAAACCAGCTGGTTTAGGCAGCTGGAGGTGAGATGACCCGGGATGTGCTTTTAAATGACTAAGAGTTCTTTCTTTACTCACACATTGAAATTTTGGTTAAGAATGCAACTGCTAAGCCCATCCCGATGACAAACTATCTAATTTTAACACTCTACTTCCCTGCTGTCTCAGAGATTTGATGACAAATCTTCTTGGTGGTCTTTCAAAACCAAGGGAGATCATTTACATGCAAAGCACTTCTTTTAACTACAGCTTATCGTAATTAGTCCGTAGAACTGTAGGAGGGCATGAAAACAATAGGTGAGAAATGCTGCTATTTGCAAGGGGTTTTGTTGACTGCCCGTGCTCAGCTTTGGGAACGGCAGGGTAAGGAGGGAATAATTTGCTAAAGATCTTGCACAGTCTTCCAGTTCCTGCTCCCGGTGCTGGCCCACCAAACCAGCTTATTTTTTATCTCCAGCTAATAGAGAAATGTGGTCTGTAATAGAAAGAAAATATTATTCTCACCTTAAAGTAGAATCCACACCTGATAATACTTAATGCTTTGTTCCTCAAGGAGACCTTATTTTGCATTTCTACCCCTTGTGAAAGGGGAGAACACGCAAGGAGTTTGAATAACTTAAATGGTAGGGAATGTCTTCTCCCCAGACAACTTACACATTGAAGCTGTTTCTGAGGAGCAATATTTCATCTCCTTGAACTCACTTACTTTTGCAGCACAACTCTCTTGGGCTTGGAGAGCAGCCAGGAGAGCTGGCAGTCACAGAACAGAGGGTTTCCAGAGAGGTTGATGGTGATGCCATCCGACGAGTTGGTGTCCCAAGGATTAAAGGAACTGAGGTTACAGCTGCAGGATGACAAATGCAATAATTAGCAAACGCTAAGTTATATTCCAAGGACTGAAGTGTGCTCAATACCCAGGGTGTGTAAGGCACAAAGCAGTATTCCCACTTCCCTTGGCAGTAGCCAGTTACTAAAATAACCATCCTGCCCTTTCCATGCTCAGAAGATGCTCTCTTTTGTCTTAGATACAGTGAGGGATGGAATCCAGTGGGATTTTTTTGCTTTAAATGGGTTTATTTTCCTGAACCTGGTTCCTAGAGCGCAGCCAGTGCTCTAATGTTTGTTCTCTGATATGCTTGTAACCTGGGCCCATATTATAGAAATCTTGCTCGGTGTTATTTTGATAAGTCACTTTCAGACTTTTGTCTCTCTTTAGTATTTCAGGTGTGTGACATACCAAGAGCTGTTACCTCTAGAATAAGGACTAAAGCATTGCTTTTACTAATTCTAAACAAGGAACTATGCTAACCTCTCACACTGAAAGTGGGATGGACAGGATTTTTGTCTGCTTCCAAGATGCGGGTTTAATGTGAGGGAGAACAAAAAAGAAACCAACTCACTTCTCAAAGGAGAGATGGCTCAGATGAGGAGCACTGTCAAACATCTCTGTCCTCACAAAACCCAGGGAAGGGGAGTCCTGGCAGTGCAGCTCTTGGAGACCAGGCATGGACTTCACAAAGTCAGTGTCGAGGCTTCTTAATCGTGGCATCTTTGTCAGGTGAAGGGATCTGAGGTTGGGCAAGTCTCTGGTCCACTCTGGTTGAACTGAAGCAGAAAAAACATTTACACCTGTTATGTAAACAGAGCATTCCTGTGGGTTTCTGCCTAGAAAAAGGGGTTGAGTTCCTAGATATGAAGTATCTCTGTTGTCCTCTGCAGCTGCTCTCTTTGGGAAAGGAATAGAGGAAAAATCAATACAGCAGTGCATAAACACCCATGCAGCTGTAATTTTGTAATATGTGTGATTTTTAATATGTAAAACAGGGCAGAGAAAAAGAAGGGAAGATAGAAGGGCAATAAAGCTGGTAAGAGATATGGAATAGCTTTCTTGTTAGGTGAGATTAAATGAACAAGGATTCCTCTCCTCAGGGAAGTGGTGGAAATTAGAGATGTCTACAAAGCCCTGACCCGGTGCAAGAAAGGCAAATAACTTCCCATTTCTCCTAGCACAGGAAAAACAGCCAAGGGGCATGAAAGTAAAAGAATGAGTCTGGTACAAAAGGTCCTCTCCATCCCATGACTGAATTGAGTAACTCACTGCTCACAGGAGGGATTAGGGAAATTAATGGAGGAAATGTGGTGGTGTGTCAGTTAAATGGGAGCTGCAGTGACACCTCTGGCTTGAGGAGCCCCCAGGGCCCTGGCTCTGCCCCAGGCTGAGGGCAGCTGGGCAGGGAATGGGAGCATCTGTGTGCCTCAGCACCTCAGTTAGAAACTGGAGCTGGTAAGAGGGAAAAAACTATCCTGTAAACTGCTCAGGGCAGGGATTGTCTCCCTGTGTGGAAGTATTAGGCTGTGGCTGACACAGAAAGCCTCTCTCTGCGCTCCCTCGCTGCAGAGGTACAAAGCAGAGTAGCTGTGGGGACAAAGAAAGATTTCAGCAGCCTGTCTGGAAAGAGAAATTAATTTCCTCCTCTGTGTCCCAAAACTAATCCCAGGGCTGACAGTGGGATGACTGTCAGTAGCAGACAGTGGAATTAGGATGGAGGGGGGTGACTACACTGGGACAAACAGCTCTTGTGGTGTCTCATGGTGTCTGGTCTCTGCCCTTCCCTTGGTCTGTGTGACAGTGCCCTGCACTCTTGGACCAGCTGTTTGCAGCTTGCAGTGTGGGGTGTTCCCCCTCCACCCCGGGCTGGGTCAGGATGGGAGCCATCATCCCATCATCCAGCAAGGCTCCTGCTCCCCCAGCCTGACCAAACCCCGTGTTTACAGTGGGAAATCCAGAAACTTACTTTTCTCAAGGAATGTCCCGCTCAGATCGAGCACATGGATGGAGTTTCCAGGCCTGTCCGAGGCCTCCCTGGGAGCTGTGCTGATGGCAAAAGCAGATTCCCTAATTCCTCTGCTGTCCTCCTGCCCCAGCAGGGTCACGGAGAGGTTCAGCACCTGCAGCTGAGGGGAGCAGGAAAAAGCCAGCGGCTGGATTTCCAGCAGTGGATTTCCAGCCAAGGACAACCACCTCAGGTTGGGCAGGGCAGAGCTGTGGCAGGATGGCACAGACGACAGCTTGTTAAAGCTCAAGTCCAGCTTGAGGAGGCTGCTGAGGGCTTCAGGTCCCCAGGAGACTGCCCAGAGGTGGTTGTGCCTCAGCGAGAGGACGCGCAGCCGCGGCAGGTTCGCGATCTCCGAGCCGTTCACCTCTTCCAAGAGGTTGTTGCTGAGATCCAAGGTCTCCAGGGCCTCCGGAAGGCAGACAGGGAAAGCTGTCAGGCTGCTGTTGGTCAGCTGCAGGGTGATCCAGGTCCTGTTCTTCCGATTCTCACAGGACATGCTGGTGAGATTAACGTTCTCCCACGGGTCTTCCTGAGCCAGCTGGAAAAAGGTGGTGACATCCCTGGATGCTGCAGGCTCTGCTCTGCTCACCGGGCCAGCCGCTGTGCTCCCCACCAGCAGGGAGAGGACGAGCAAGCCTGGAAACATCCTTTTCCGAAGTGACTTGCAATCAATTTCCAAGATCTGTTTGGGTTTTGTTTCGGGGGGGGGGGGGGGGGGAACAAAACATCAACGTTAAGAGCTAAATTAAAATCCCTCCACGCAACTACAAGCAGTTTAAAAGTGAAACATTTTTTTAAATACTTTCCTTTTACATCCCAGCAGTGATAAGTGATAATTATTAGCTCTTCCGTAATTAAGCCTAAGTAAACATGAACCCTTGGGGACAGAAGTATCACACACTCTCAGTCTAAGTGTGCCTACAGTTTTTCATGGAGGAAGCAACCAAGCTGTATCCCACACCAGCACCCTCAGCACAGAAGGTTGTCCTGCTGCAGTGTCCAGTCTGGGCAGCCCAGTGGGAAGTTTTCCAACGGGATGATGATGCCCAAGCAACAGGGCAGGTGTGCCCGTGGCAAGGGATTGTTCTCTGTGAAGCTGCCTGTGCAAAGCAAGTGTATGGATCCGAGGGCTGGGGAGGGTTGTCAGACTTTAAAGGACAGGAGCCCAAACTGGGCTGAGTTGCAATGGAGTGGGCAGGTAAAAGTGCCTTTCCTGTGTTAGGAAGGGCTTTCCTTCCCTTAGCAGAAGTTGGCACAGCAAAGCCCCGGGGCTTGTTGGGCTGTGCCAGGGCAGTGCTGCCCCATTCTGAGTGACAGCCACGTGGGGACCCCGCAGGCACTTCGGGGCTCCCGAGCAGCCGGCACTGCTGACAGATCGCACAGCCCAGCTGCTGGGAAAAGGATGCACTGGGAATGCAGATCCTGAACCACATTTCAGTGGAAGCGGTCAGAAACTGAGTGTGCTCCTGGACCAGGGCCCCAAAGGCCTGGGCGCCAAGAAACATTCAGTGTTCCAGTTCCCTCAGTGCTCCCTCCTCCTCCCGCCCCAGCTTTGTCTTTGTCATTTAAAAGAGAACCAAAAAGTTCTAAATGACTTGTGAAAGGCCCCGCAGGTAATCTGTGTCACTGGAGAAAATTAAGACCAGCCCTAAACTAGCGCTTTTCTTACTGAGCTGTCTTTTGCGCTGCCAGGCATCAAAGTGATCATTCCTCATCCAAAAACATATTACGTAGGGAGGTGACCGAAGCCTCACGTAGTATGAAATATCTCAGACTCATTCAAAATTTTAATAGCTATTTGCTGTTCCCTGAATGGTGCCAGGTCTTGCCCGGACTGTTATCCTTTGCTGCCATCCCAGGTCTGAAGGAGGGATAAGCAAAAGAGTGTATCCTGGACCACCAAAATAGTGTATTTTGGTTGCCTGCGTCCTTTTTGTCAGACGGAACCGTGACAGAGCCAAGCAGCCTCAGGGCTTCCCGGTCACCGGACCCGCACCCGCTGGATCCCGTGCTCCGCAGCACATGGCAGGGAAAGGATGGGAGGAACTGGACCGCTGGATTCCAGTCTTGGATTTAATCTTAGTCTCTGCCTCTAAACCGCATCCGCCTGCACGTACCTGTCCCAAAATCCCGATGCCTCGTGTCTCCTCCGCTCCGAGCGGCTCCGACTGCCCGGCCTCGGCTTTATACACTTGGGTGACTCAGCCGAGAGCGTGAAATGCCTCTTTTCTATTCCCAGCCTTCCCTGCTCGCGGCTCTGCCCACAAGCTAAGGCGAGGTTTGTTCCAGGCTCGCTCCCCCGCATCCAGCTTTCCCCTCGCCTAGAGAGGGGGCGGCTCCAGGCAACTTTCCTTGCTCCTTTGGCCCTGGCGGGAGCGGGGTGGGAGGGCTCTTATTTCCCAACGCTCGGGCAGGGCTGCTCCTGTCCGTCTTTGTCTGAGAGGCGGCGGGTAAAGGGAAAAGATCAGTGTCAGCTCTCAAGTCTCCCCCTGACAAGGGGGGAGGGAGGGGAATTGTTGTGTCCCTTTGTTGGCAGGTCAGGATGATGTAAAGCTGAGGCTCTGTCTGCTGACACGGGCTTTGGTCTCTCTCTAGGCGCCAATAAAGGGCTTCAAGTGTTTAAATTTCTCTCTAAGACTCTTGCTCCTGGGAGTAAATCCCAGAAATGTTCACGCAGGACAAATGACTTTTCTAAGGAGGCCCTTAGGGAATGTCAGAAGTGAAACCCTCACCTGCTTCTCTCACAGAGAGGAATTCTCTGTGCCGATGGAGAGGGTGGGGGGAATCTCAGCCCGCGTGGGACAGCCTTGGGAGGCCTCTCCCGGCCCCTGCTCTGCATCTGTGTTCCACATGGCTTGGGAGAATTCCCTTCCCGTTACTTATCTCGTCCTTTGCTGGAAAAGTGGGATTGAAAACGTGAACCATCTCTCACCAAGGGACTTGCCCGGAGCTGGGTCTGTCAGCGTTCCCACAATTCAGGATAATAATTAGGCTGATGGAGAGCAAAGTCAGTATCCAGGAAAGGGGTGAATTGATAGAGATCGTTCCAAAGTGAAAGCAAAAGGGTGGTCGTTTGGTTGCTACTGTAAGACAATTGATTAGTAAAATTTCCAAGGAGAACAGTAGTCAGTGCCTTCCCTTTATCAGGACAACAAAACAGATCCCTGACGTGGAGGCAGCACAGCCCCACTTTGGTGCTAAAGTGCAGATAAAGGTCTTGCCCCAAAACCTTGAGTCTGCCTGTGCACATGTACTCAGAGCTTATCTATGGACCGTGTGGTTCATTATCTGCGTGGGGAGAGAGCCTTGAAAAGCACCAGAACATCCCCAGAGCGAGATAGGGCCTTTCAGGAGGACTCCCTGGAGCCATTGCCCTTCCCTTGGAGAGATGTACATATTGTTCCCCCGTGGAATGGCTCCAGGGCAGGACAAATAGTTTCCTAGATGAGGGGCTAATCCCATATTAACCCTGGTGGGGCAGGACTGGGAGCAGGGCAGTGCAGGCCCGGCACGTGCACCACGGCAGGTACCTCAGGGATCTGCACTGCCGGGGTTCAAAGGGCACCGTGGGGCAGGTTAAAAAAATCTGAAGAATTCGCTGTAAGAGGAGGAAAGTCCAGCTCCTGCCTTCCCTCTGGCTTCCCAGACCTGCTGCACTGCTCCTCTTTGGGAAGCTGGAACTGCAGGGAGGTGGCCTGGCTTTGCCCTGGGCTATGAAGTGCCTGTGTTGTGTTTGCTGCCTTTGGCTCGGTATTTACAGACAACGAATTTTCAGTGGTTATTTTAGGGTTATTGGTTATCTTACTGCTTTTAACATCTTAAAAAAAACCCTCCAGGAGACCCGGTGAGCCAAAACCTGCCTTACCTTTAATGAGTTCAACCTTACTGGCTTTATTTTGGAGGCAAGCAGACTGTCAGACTGGGAAAGCAGCCGCTCATTTCGGTGGAAGTGGAGGCTTTGTTTGCCCAGGGGTGCTTGATTTCTGAGTGAGACAGAGAACCTGTTGCAAGAGGCAGAGCACCCTTGGAAAACGAGCTTTTGTTATTTTTATTTTCCAACTTTGTTTCTGCTTTTTGGATGCTCAGTTTTTGCAGCAGGTGTTGTATCTTCCCACCAAACTCTAATCATCTGGAATATGGTGCTGTATCTCAAGCAGCTGCCCAGGTACTGGTGAAGGTTTCCCAGGGCAGGCAGCAGCCTTCTCTCACCAGTTTCTTTCAAATATCTGGTAGCAGCAGGCAGAGATTTCCCCTCCGTGGGCCACTTTGACCTGTTCTCATGTCACCTTTTATTCCACTCCGTTTTTTTTCTGCTTTTCTAAGAGTTTCAGCGGCAACCTGAGGGCGTATTTAGTAAAAGCAGGCGTTTCTGTCAGCCTTTTCACACGGGTGATGCATAAGGAGCCGAACCAGACGCCCCCTCCGAGGGGGTGATTCAAGGCTGCACAAAGCCCCTCTGCCCGCAGGAATGCTCGGGCAGAGCCCTGCATTCCTCAGTGACACCAAGATAAGCAGAGCTCGGGGAGAGCAGGAGAAGGCGAGGATGGTACCAGGCTGTAAAGTTTAAGAGGTGAATGTTTCTCGCTGGCCGCGGTCCAAGTGATGGTTAAGAACGAAAATACCTTGAAAAGGTCTGGAGAATGGATTTTAAAGCCAACAAAAGAAATGTTTCGCAGGTCTGTCCACGGAGCAAGCACGAGCAAGACATTTTCCTACAGAGAACAGGGAGAGAATGCAGGAAGAGGATTATTTAGCCTGAGGTTTCAGAAAACTATGGGTGTGTGTCTCTGTTGCAGTAACACACGTTCCGGTGAAATTCCCTGCGGAATTCGGTGTGAGTAAGAGCAAACAGCAGCCGTCTGACATCGGTGGGGTTTTACCCTGATCTGGGTTTAACCAAGCACGGTGTACAGAAGAGGGCTGTGGCTGAGCTGAGGTATAACTTTCCTGAAGGTTTTTGTTTTCATCTAAACAACATTCCTGTCCCGGATTTCATCTCAGTGTTGCACAACTTCAGGGGCAGCCGCCCTTGCGCTGCTTTCGCTCACTCTGGGAAACCTCTCCCACATCTGGCACCGCGGGATGAGTAACTTGGCTCCTGCAGACCCCCGAGCCTGTGGTCTTTAACCCTGGGTGTAAATCAGGTGGGATGAACCATGTCTGATCGGGTCGTTGCAGGAATCAGGGAGGATGATGAGCATTAAGGGGAATGTCTGGAGCGTGGCCGGGACGTGCTGGATGACACAGAGTGGGATGACAGATGACTTGGTGCACCAGGGGTGGGATGACAGATGACTTGGTGCTGTGGCTGGTGCACGTGTCAGACAGAGCAGGCTGGTGCAGCCTCCCCTCAAGTTATCCAGCCTGGAATTACTGAGGTGCAGCATGCCCTGGGTTGTGCCTTCCTGCTCCAACCTCTCCAAGGGCTGCTTGTAGGAAGCAGAGCTACAGTCACATGCAGCACTGAAAGCAGCTGGATAAAACCAGATTTTTTTTTCGTCAGTGTTCCTTACCTCTCATGGAAAAGCCTTGCAAGGTGAGTGGAGCAGAGGAGAAAAGACAGCTGATGACCTAAAGAAACACAGAGAGAGGACAGCAGCAGGGTATCATTCCTTAAAGCTAAAAGGCAAAGGACAGGGCTGACAGCCAGCCTGGATGAGCTGGCAGAGCCTCCCTGCAGAGCAGCAGTGACACATGGGGTAAGATTGAAGGAGGGGCAGGAAAGAAAATGGAAATATTTGATAGTTTCTCCGAAATCCCAGTCCGGACAGCTTGGATTGCAAGTGGACGTGCTTGTTCAGCACTGAAGGGAGCCACACACTCTCACAATGAGAATCACATTCCCATTTCCCCATGTCCCTGCATTCCTGTGTTCAGGTCACGTAGGCAAGGGGCAACTCCAGGACTTCCATGTAACAGTTGGGCAACAAGCTCTGCTCTGGGAATGACGAACAGGGGGCTGTGCTTCCAGGGAGAAATTTGTGCAGGCATGGTCAGGATCCTGCCTGCAAAGCCTAAGTGGAGGCTGAGCGTGGAAGGCAGCTGTCTGTGCAAGAGGTGCTGGCACTAATATGACCATTCAGCTCTCCCATGGAACCCTTGGGCAGGTCTTAAATATAGCCAGTGTTTGGACTTGGACAAGGAAAATACTAGGCCTGTGTCAAGCAAGTGAGAAGTGGGTAAGTCCTCTACTGAAGGAAAACTGGAGGTCCCTCAGCCTGTGTAAAATGTGCTGAGGAGAGAGAAATCAGAGGGCTGGGAAGCAGGCTGTCCTTTTGTGGGTTTTTTAAATGTAAAGCTATGGTTTGTTTAAACTGGTACAATGTGGGAGTGATTCCACTGCAGCCTATTGACAGGGACTGGAGAGAAGCAGAGGATGTGGCCTAACAATCAGGGCTCTCTGGTCCCAGTGATGTTTATAATCACACAGTGATTTCTGCAGCATCTCTTGCTGATATGACAACACCTGCCCGTTGTATTCCTTTAGATATGTGAAAACAGTTTTGGTTTGTCCAGCAGTTTCATGAATTCTCCCAGCTTCACTCTGCCCTTCCTTCACTCATCACTGTGTGTTGTAGGGTAGAACCAAATTTCATTCAGCTTGGTGGGCGTGTGTGGCTCCTTCCAGCAGGCAGAGCTGGAATCACAGTGCTTTGGGTTGGAAGGGACCTTAAAGCTCATCCAGTTCCAACCCCCTGCCATGGGCAGGGACACCTTCCACTAGACCAGGTTGCTCAGACCTCCATCCAACCTGGCCTTGAGCACTTCCAAGGATGAGGCAACCACAACTTCCCTGGGCAACCTGTGCCAGCTCCTCCCCACCCTCACAGAGAAGAATTTCAGCGTGAAGCCATTCCCCCTTGTCCCATCACTCCAGGCCCTTGTCCAAAGTCCCTCTCCAGCTCTCTTGGAGCCCCTTTAGGCCCTGGAAGGTGCTGTAAGGTCTCCCCAGAGCCTTTTCCTCTCCAGGCTGAACAGCCCCAGCTCTCCCAGCCTGTCTCCAGAGCAGAGGTGCTCCGGCCCTTGGAGCATCAATCTCTCTTTGCAGTCTGCACAACACCCATAAAATCATTCCTACAGGAATTCCAGCTCCTCACACATGAGCAAGTTGAGTTCAGCGAGATGTCACAGTGAAACAAAGTAACAGGGGCAGAAAATAGAAAGGCCCACACCGAGGCCTTTTTAACAAGCAAAATATTTCAGATAGTACCAAACTCACTTTTTTCAGCTAGGTAGTTAACAAAGTTCCTCAAAAGATCGATGTTTTGGATCCAGTTTTTCCAAGATCAATCCTTTGTAGCTTCTCTGGC